AGAGCCTGTTTTCTGTGCATTCAAAGGCTGATGGGAGGGTAGGAGATTCTTTTGTATTGACACTAAAAAAATCCTTGAAAACCAGCCAGCCCCTCCCTGGGAGCAACTGCACCCCGGTCCATCCCCCTCAGCTGGGGGAGCCCAGTCAGTCGTATCGGCTCGGCAACAGGACAGAATGTGCACGTGGGGCAGAGCAACCAGGTTTGTGGGGGGCTGGGGCAGGGACCAGCCCCACTGCTTCGCTGCCCCGGCAGCAGTGGGATTGCGTGCTCCCAAGGGTAAAGTCCCCTCCCCCCCCAACTGTGTCTGTGTCTCTGATTCTTCTTGGCCCAGGTTTAATTTTGTTGCGAAGAAGCTGCACAAGCGGCTGCAGCAGCTCGGGGCCAGCCCCATCCTGCCAGTAGCCTTGGGGGACGACCAGCACGACTTGGGGTAAGCGCACTGCCTGGGGGAGGGGCTGCTGTCAGGATCCCCCCTGTGGCTTCAGTCCTCCAGCTCCCGCTAGGGCTGTGAGTGCTGCACCCCCAGCTCGGCCTGTAGGGCAAGGCAGCGGGCTGTGATTTCCCAGGGCGGGCTCACACCCCTGCAACAGCTCTGCTCCTGGCCCCTGAAATCTGACTAGCTGCCCTCCCTGCTAGTCCAGGCCTGGCTCCTCCCCACAGCTCTGCTTATTTACCTGTATTCCCCTGCTGTTCATCCCCTCCCCCTCGCCACGCACACCTCGGTCCTTTCCTGGCTTTCCAGGCCTGGCTGCCTGGTCCCCTCAGTCTCTGCTAATGCTCTGCACACCTGGCCTGCAGCCCACCCCCTCGGTTCTAATCCTGGGTCCCCCCCCAACCTCGCACTGCTGATTTTCCCCATTCCTGACCTGCAGCCCCGCCAACTCGTCCAGTCCTGACGAGACTGCCCCCTTATCCCCGCCAGTCTTGTGGTTTTGTCACACGTCCAGCAGGGACCGGCAGGCTGAAACCTGCTGCACTGATTTTCACCCATGATCGAAGCCAGTTCACGTCGAAGTAAAATCTCACCCTCATGTTCTAACTGGGTCGGCTGTCCCGTCCAGAGTGCAGCTGCCAGGACCTGCTACAGAATGTGCACCTAACCCACCGCAGAGCTATCGCCAGGCTACCCAGAGCTCCTGGCCCATGGGAAAGAGCCCCTGGGGTTCCCCCCAGGCTCATTGCTTCAGGGAGCTCATGGGAGGCCGCTGCACTTGGGTCTGAAGAGTCTCTTCTCTGAACTCAGGGCCTGGTTTGAGATTCCTCCCTAGAACGCTGTCACTGTTCCAGTTTGCCCGTGTGACCCCTCCACAGGGACTGGCTGGGCAGCACCTACCTGTCAGGCATCTGTATTGTCACCTCTGCCTACTGCTGCTCCTCCAAGTGGGACTACACAGAGGGCCCAGCCTGGTGACCAGCCCTCCATGCTGGGAGAAGTGGAACGGATGCTCAGCACCGGCGGGGGCGTCCAAGTTACGTAGCTTCATTGCCACATGCCCTGCCATGGGCAGTCCCCGTTCAGCTGGGCTGCGGGGGCTGGGAGCTGGCGGCTTATATCCCTCTGGTGCCCCCTCTGGCTGACTGAAGGAACCACGCTTGCCACACTAGGGCAGCGTTGCAGGAAGAAGGTTTCTGAAGTTTGGGGGTAACGGGGACGCAGCAGGGCAGGGTCCCAGCAGTCCCCCAGCCCTGCTGCAGTTTGTATTTACCTCCTGCAGGCCGGATGCAGTGGTTGATCCCTGGCTACTGGACTTGTGGGGAAGGATCCTACCCTTGTACCCTCTGCCTCCTGGCCTTGGCATTATCGGCCCAGATGTCCTGTGAGTACCAAGGGTGGGCGCAGACCGTCTACTGCCTTCCAGCCACTGCTGGCTAGGGGAAAGCTGATTGGTTGCACATGCTGCCTTGAAATACTGCTTTCCCAGGCTGGTCCTTGTGGGCACACAACTCTGCCCTGTATGCTGGGTTGGAAGCGTCCTGCCCCGGTTGCCAGAGCCCCGGACACACCCTGGACGGAGGAGCCTTGCTTCAACCCGTCCGGCACACAGTAGAAAAGGAAGGTGTCAGGCTGTCTGGAGTGGCTCAGGGACATGAGTACCAACCGCAGGGCAGACTGTCAAGGAGCAGGGCACACACCCCAAACTGGTTGTGAGTTCTATACAGAGATTTCACCAACCAAATGTCAAGTGTGAACAGCAGCCTTAACATGGAGTCACAGACAGTCCCCTCGGGTACTCCAGTCTGTCTTGCCATCCACGCAAGCCTGCCTTTGTGATAAATGGTCCCTTACACCAAAAATCACAATATTCAGGTTACTCCCAGTCCCAAAGGACCAGTCACTTACCCCAGGGGATTGCACCTTTAGATCCTGCACCAAAGACAACGCATGTAGCCAGTCTTATAATAAATTACAGTGCAACCCCGTTTATCCGATCTCATTGGGACCAGGACCGGATCGGATCATTAAAAATTCAGATAATCAGGAGAATGGGCAGGGCTCGGACTGTCAGCCTTGCCGCCCAGGGCTGACAGCCGAAGCCCCACCGCCTAGTTCGGTTAATATGGAGAGCTGGATAACGGAGGCTCAGATAAGCGAGGTTCTACTCTAACTAAAGGCTTATTAACTAAGAAAAAGAAATGAGAGAGTTATTTACAAAGTTAAAGCAGATAAACGTACACACACAAATGAGTTTACACTCTTAGGTTCTAACAGGTAATAGAAGCTGCTGTAATACCCAAACTCTATATGTCCTCTAGGGCTAACCCATGCCAAGCACTGGGGATCCCTTGCTTATGCTTAGAAATCTTGCCTTCTCCAAGTCCAGTAGCATAGAGACCCAGTTTCTTCTTGTCAGGAATTTTTATTCCCTTGCCCCAGAGTTCAGGCTGATGGGATGGGTCCTTGTGCGTGTCTCCTCTTCATGGGTGTGGGGGGAGAAATCACCAAAGTCTTTGTCCTCTGATGTTTCACGATGGCTCATGTGGGCCATCCTGTGGGCAGGACCTACCACCTTCTGTAGGAAGCCAGTCTTTACATTAACTAACTCTTCTTTCCTGTTTGGTGAGCTACACAGTCACACAGGTTTCCACTGCAAACGCTTAATATAACCTTATACCATGGGGTACAGGTGTTAAGTGAGCTCAATACATGCAGCATGATACAAGCATTTCATAAAGCCTAGACAGAAAACCCACGGTTATCAATCTAATACCTGTTTTAACAATACTAACACACGGGTGAGTCAGACGGGTTTCCAGCCATGCATTCGTCAGTGTTCAGTTGGGGTCTGGGGGCCTTGGCATGAGCTGGCACCTGCTCTGCCAGTGTCACAGAAGGTCTTTCATGGCGAACCATTTAAAGGGACACAGTCCAGGCTGCGACAGCCCTAAATATGGCATTTGCCTTGCCCCCAACCATCAGGCTTATCGTAGCAGAGCTCCCCTATGAGCAGCTGCAGGTTCTGTGGGCCCCACTCCTGCCCTGGGGACCCTCCCACAGGGAAAGGGGGCTCAGCTTGGGAGTCTCCCCTTCCCCGGTACTGCACAGAGGCCTGGCTGGGGATGTGTGCGGGGGAAGGGGGCTCAGGCAGCCTGGGGCTGGTACTGTTCCATGGGACTCTGACCTCTGCCCCAGAAGAGGGGCTATGGGATACCGCGCACTGACCCACCTGCCAGGCTGCGTTTCTGTCACGGGTCGTGTTCCCAGCCAGGAGTCCTGCTCTCTGCTGTGGGGACAGTGGGGCACCAGCAGGGGAGTCCCGCTAGCTCCATGGGGTGGGGAGACTCCTCTGGGGCCTTCTGGACGCCCGTCCATTCTCCTTTAGCTGGGGAAGGGAGAGCTCCCTCTGCTGCCCCATGTGGGAAAGGCTCCCTGGATTCTGCACCGCTCTCTGTGTCCCTGGGGTGGGCTTTTGCTGCAGGCATTTCCCTGCTGCCCGGTCCCTGTGTCAGTGGCCTGGGGGTTGCTCTCGGCTGTACTGCTCTGCAGGGGTTCTGTGCACCTCGTCTGCACACCTCATGTCCCTGGCGTGCTTGGAAGCCTGGCAGATTTACTGTGTCCTTTCTGGGACCAGCTGATGCTGGAGCCTGGCTCTGGCTGCCCCAGAATGCATCTGGCCTTGGTTTCTCCCTGTGGAGGATCTGGCTGCGGGGCTCTGCTTGGCAGACTGGCTGGGTTGTGCTCTGTTTCTGTGCCCTCAGGCTGTGCTCATACTGCAGAGCTAGCCTGGCTCCTGGCAGCGGTTTGGGGCACATTTGGGTGCCTCTGAGTTTGGGAGTAGCCTGCAGATGGTACCCAGGCAATGCTCCGGGCTTTGGGGGCGACTGGCGCTAACCACCACTGGCCCAGAGAGGCCGTGCAATGGAACTGACTGTGCCACATTGTTCTTCCCTGCAGTTTACCTTCCAAGTTCACTCTGCATTTTCTGGATGAGCGCTCCAGTGGCTGCGACGGGGAGGCAGCCAGGCAGGCCCCCTCAGAGCTGCACCCCTTTGCTGCCCAGGTGGTGTCCAACCTCAGAGTCACGGCGGAATCACACTTTCAGGACGTCCGGCTCATTGAGTTTGATGTCACAGGCTCTGGGATTGAGTGAGTCACCCCTAGACGCACTGGGCTCCTAGCGGACGTGTGGAATGGGAGCTGCCCTGGCCCCTCCTTGTGCTCACAGTGACGCTAGATGTTTTTCTGTGGCAGTGACCCCGTGACCTCAGCCACTCTCTGTCCCTGCTGGCTCGCTGCCCTGAAGAAGGGGGGTTTCTTTCTCCAGGGGTCTCTTGCTGGCCAGAGCAGAGACTCGTTCAGTAGGTTTATCAATCTGAGCAGGGCCATCAGTGTTTGGCTTTCTGCACCTCTCCTCGTTGTCCTGTTGTCCGCCTCTCCACCTGCGCAACGGTGGGCCCCACCGCTCTGCAGGCGCTGCTCGGGAGGGGAGCTGACCTGATCCCACAGGAAGGGATTAATGTGTTCCCCAGGCCGCACGGCCTCCATTTCCCCCTCCCCGGCCACTCCGCTCCGGGTTTCTGCAAGGATGCTGGGCCCCACGGTTTAATGGGCCTCAGTGGCGCCTAGTCTCCAGCCGTTTAGCCCCTGGTGGGCTGGCTCCCTACTCAGCAGAGCTGGTGGAAAACTGGGCTGTATTTTGGCCCTAGCTGGGGATTGGGATGGCACTGCACCCGGTACTGATCGGGATTCACTTGTTGCTGTTGGAAACTGAGGCGGCAGGGAGCTGGGCAGAGTGAGGAGGGGCCTGCAGTGAGGAACAGGCTTCCACCTTCCTCCCACTGCTTGGCAATCCCCCTTTCGGACCCCGCCCTCTGCAGGGGCCTGTGAGCTCCCCTCCCTCTGCTGCGGTTGGCTGTGCGGGAGGTGCTGGCAGCGGTGATGCCCAGCGGCTATGCTCAGCTGGCACGTGCCCTGCAGGTACAGTGCGGGAGACGTGGTGATGATCCAGCCCCGGAATGCCCCTGAGGACGTGCAGCAGTTCTGCCAACTCCTGCGCCTGGATCCAGACAGATGCTTCGTGCTGAAGCCCTCTGAGCCCGGTACGCGCCCCCACCCCCCGCTCCTTCCTCTCCCTGCCAGGATGGGACCGCCCATTCGGCGGCTCTGTTCCAGCTCCGGTCTCTGCTTTCTTGGGCTTTGGAGCCTGGGAGATTGCAGGAGAGCTAGTCAGCCACTGCTGGCTTGGCTGTCCTTCTCTGTCTCGTGACACCGGGGAGAGGCTCCCTCCCTTGTCTGGGCTTCCAGTCTGGCCGTGTGGTCCCACTCCAGATGTGGGAGATCGGGATTTGACCAGCAGTGTCTAGCCTGCGTCCTCGCCCTCCCCCTCCTGAGGGCATGATGGGCAGAGCGGGCCCCTCAGTTCCCCCTAGCGCCAGGGCCGTGAGACAGAGCTCAGTGGGCTCCACCTGCAGCATCCCAGCACCCTAACCATCAGAGGAGTGACGTTCTGGAACAGCCTGCCAAGGGGAGCAGTGGGGGCAAAAGACATATCTGGCTTCAGAACTAAGCTTGATAAGTTTATGGAGGGGATGGTATGATGGGATAGCCTAATTTTGGCAATTAATTCATCTTTGACTATTAGCGGTAAATATGCCCAATGGCTTGTGCTGGGATGTTAGATGTGGTGGGATCTGAGTTACTACAGAGAATTCTTTCCTGGGTGTCTTGCTGGTGAGTCTTGCCCACATGCTCAGGGTTTAGCTGATCGCCATATTTGGGGTCGGGAAGGAATTTTCACCTTCCTCTGCAGCGTGGGGCACGGGTCACTTGCTGGAGGATTCTCTGCACCTTGAAGTCTTTAAACCACAAGTTGAGGACTTCAGCAGCTCAGACATAGGTCAGGGGTTTGTTACAGGAGTGGGTGGGTGAGGCTCTGCGGCCTGCGTTGTGCAGGAGGTCAGACTAGATGATCATAATGGTCCCTTCTGACCTTAAAGTCTAGGAGTCTATGAGCCTCTCTTCAGAGCTGACCTGTCGGGAAGCTCCTGCCCTCCGGCGGCTCCTCGCTTTACTGCCTGGTCAGCTCCAGGGGTTCAGTGTGGGGGCCCAGGATCACCCAGACACGTTCCTCCCAAGGGCCCAGGACTGCCCCAGCGGGCATCACTTGGGGACCAGCCCAGACTACCCCTCTGGTCTAGCACTTCGGCCCCAGGAGGCACCATTGGCTCCTCCAGCGAGACCCCAGAAGCTCGTCTTCCTCCGTTGTCTTTCATAAGCGCCCCAGAAATCAGTACTGGGCCAGCCCCTCTCTTCCCAGAGACCCGCCTCAGCCAGCCTGGCCCATCGCCTCCCGCCCCAGCCAGCCCGGCCCATCGCCTCCCGCCCCAGCCAGCCCGGCCCATCGCCGCCTGCCCCGAGACCCACCCCGGGCAGCCCAGCCCATCACCACCCGCCCCAAGACCCGCCCTGGGCAGCCCGGCCCATCACCACCCGCCCCGAGACCTGCCCCGGCCAGCCCAGCCCATCACCACCCGCCCTGGGCAGCCTGGCCCATCGCCACCCACCCCGAGACCTGCCCCGGGCAGCCCAGCCCATCGCCACCCGCCCCGAGACCTGCCCCGGCCAGCCCAGCCCATCACCACCCGCCCCAAGACCCGCCCTGGGCAGCCCGGCCCATCGCCACCTGCCCCGAGACCTGCCCCGGCCAGCCCAGCCCATCGCCACCTGCCCCGAGACCTGCCCTGGCCAGCCCAGCCCATCGCCATGTATTTAGTGCAGCTCTTGTCCCGGTGGTCAGGAGTCAGAGCCCACGCAGCTGGAGCCCAGCCAGTCTCTTCAGCTTGCCTCAGGAGCGCTCCTGTCCTGGGAGTGTGCAGAGCATGTAAGGCCAGCAGGGGTCTCCAGCTCGACTGGTCTGATCCCCTGTGGATGACAGGCCGGCAGCACGTGCACTCTGCCCCCAGCACCGCGATGAGACGAAAGCGTCACAGCCACAGGCAGAGACCAGGAGGGGCCCAGGTGCACCAGTGTCAAGGAAAGAATGAAACGAGATACACCCAAATACTCCTGGCAGTGACCTGCACATGGGCACTCCAGAGGCAGGTGAGCACCCCCAGATCACTGCCAATCTGAGCTGGGGGGAGATTCCTTCCTGAGCCCACGCAGGGCAATCAGCTAGCAAGATCCATCGAGCCAAGCACCTGAGAGAGAACACGCTCAGAGCCCTGACCCTGCATCTCCAGCCAGGGCCAGCCCTGGTGCATCAGAGGAAAGAAACCAAACCCCAGAGAACAGGCTGGGGAGGGGAGCATCCCCCAGCTGAGGACCTGATGCATGAGTTTTAGGTACATAAGACATAGCAGCCAGGTCCCTTCTGGTTTGAGCCCTGCCCCCCACCATCACAAGCAACCCCATCGTACAATCCACTCAGACATGTGTCCACCTTCCGCTTAAAGCGAATTCATTCTTTGCCCCCCACAACCCCTGTTGGGAGGCTGTTCCAGAGGGCTAGACTCTACCCAGAACCAGCGCAGACTGTGACAATCCATTAGCACCCGGATCCGGGCTCAGGAGAGCAGTTCCACGGTCCTTGCTCCCGCCTGTTGGTGGGTGGGTGTATCTAGCCACCACAAGTGGGGACCCACCCAGACAGAAACTTGGAGACAGATCTGCCAGTAGCTGTGCTGCTTTGAGGTGGTTTGGCCGTGTGGCCCCCCAGCCTGCCCTCCGGCCCTGCTCCTTTCATCGTCCATCTCTGCTGGGGTTCTGAACTAACCAGGGGATCAGAGACAGCCAGGGCTGCTCTGCCCTACAAGCCCCCAGGCGGGCGGGGCACAAGGATTGCAGGTCACAGGCCAACAGACCCTGCTGGTCAAAGATTCGCCTCTCGCATCCCGGAGGTGCCCGCGCATCTGGAGTGAGATCCACAGACACAAGACAGCGAAGAAAATCCGTTCCTGTGAGTCAGCACCCACTCTTCTCTGCAGCACCCCCAGCCTCCCCCGTCTCAGGCTATGGGCAGCAAGGGGACGGGGCGGGGAGCGGTGGCTGTGCGGGGTGGCCAGGGAGGGGACGGGGAGTGGTGGCCGCACGGGGTGGCCAGGGAGGGGGAGGGGAGGGGTGGCCGCGCGGGGTGGCCGGGGGGGGGGGGGGGGGGGGTGGCCACGCAGGGTGGCCGGGGGAGTGGAGCAGAGAGGAGCAGTGAGGGCTCCGCGGGCTGGCAGGGACAATGCTGTGGCTGGTTCCTCAAGTGTTTGCAGATGTGCCTTGCACTCAGGCGTGTCTGCACCTAGGGCATGGAGAGCCGGAGCTGCTTTTCCTGCTGCAGTTGTTCTCTGAGCTGTGGATGCAGACGTCTGTTCTGCGACCCACCCTCCAGCCCTCGTCATTGGAGTCCTAGTCTGCCTCTCTCGAGGGAAAGAACTGAGGGGGGTTCGGTTGGTGCCGCCCTTATATAGCCTGGGGAGGGGCCACAAGGAGACACCAAGTGCCTGCTGCCCTAGCGGATTCTGCTGTAGGAAAAGTGTCTTCAACTCTTCATGTGCGACGTGCAAACGCACCTGAGTGCAACACACGTCTGCACCCGCAGCTCGAAGCACCAGTTACAGCTCAGGTAAGTCACCTGTCCTGGGGAGCTTCGACTGGGCTCCCCTGGGTGCTGGCAAATCCATTCGCTGGGGTGACTCAGTTACTTTTGCTTTGGGCTCCCCTAGGAACAACTGAACCCGCTTCAGCTGGCTGCAGCATCACTCACTCGCTGCACCGTACGTGTCTTCTGCCATTGCAGAGCCTCTCCGGCTCCAGTCAGGCTCCGAGCTGAGGCAGCCCTAGGTGTGGGGGAGGGAGCTCCTTGGGCAGTTGTGCAGCCAGGCTTCTTGCCCCTTACTTGGGTCAGCGCCAGTCTCAAGAGCTCTCTTGGCCTCATGCCTTCCCTTGCAGGAACCCCCCTTCCTGCCCACTTGCCGCAGCCATGCACCATCCAGCACCTGGTCGCCTGCTACCTGGACATTTCCTGTGTTCCCCGTCGCTCTTTCTTCGAGCTCTTGTCCTGGTTCTCGCCAAACGAACTGGAGCGGGAGAAGCTGCAGGAATTCAGCTCTGCGCAGGGCCAGGAGGAGCTCTACAGCTACTGCAACCGGCCCCGCAGGACCACCTTGGAGGTAGGGCAGCTGGAGGAACCTGGCGGGGGGGAGTGGGGACTTTCTGTGGAGAGCTGCGTTGAGTTCTTGGCTCTGCTTGGCCTTGCTTCTCTCCCTGAAGCTGGACGATTGAGACGAAGTAAGGCACAGCGAGGGTCGGCAAGGACCGTGTGCCTGCTCCACCCTTCCCCGGGCTGGGCAGCAGGTCGGCCCTCGCGGAGAAGTGTGCCCCTGGCGCAGTCCCTGTAACAGCCAAGAGCAGAGTCCCAGGCAGCCCTTGGAGGCCAAGGAGGGTTGCTGAGGGGTGTGTTAGGGTGAGTTGGGCTCTTCCTGGGGGTGAGGGGAGCGGGGGGGGAGAGTTGAGGAAACAAGAGAAAGTGGTGGGGGTCGTCCTAGTGTGTTGGAGGATTAGGCTGTGCCCTCCTTGCATGTGATTACTTTCTCCCCCCCCCCCCGCTCCTCTCCTCCCTGTCAGCCCCCAGCCCCACTTCCCTACCCTACTGGAGGGCTAAGGGCTCTCTCACGATGAGTCCCATCTCCTTCACCTCCCGCTGTCCTAGCTGGGCACTGAACGAGGATGCACGTGGTCCTGGGCTGAAAGACCCGGGGTGTAATGCACACATACAAGGGCACCGGGACCTGGACATTCCCTGACTTGGACTTAATTTGCAACTTTGCTGTTCCCTTCACACACATTTTTTTCCTATGGAATTTCCCAGGTTTTTTAATGCGGGGGAGGAAGGGCAAGAAAAGAACCTTCTTTATTGGCTTAGACAGTTTGGCCAGGAAGCCCTAGACACCGGCAGCAAGGTTGGGCTTGCATGCCCCAGTGCTGAAACTATGTCCGGTACATATTGCTCTCCACAGTACCAGGTTCCCTTTCCTCGGTGCGGAGCACTCTGTGAAGGAGACAAGGGCTGGGAGCCCACGGAGGGCTCTGGTGTGGGGGTGGGCAGAGCACAAGCACGTCTGGAGGGCCTACCAGTGTCAAGGAGGTGGCCGCAGGCTGCCCTGCTCACAGGTTGCCTTCCAGGAGAACAGAGTGGTAGCCGTGTGTGTCGAGTCAGAAACACCCAGGCCAGGAAGGACCATTGTGATCATCTCGTCTGACCCCCTGTATCGCACAGGCCAGAGACCTGCCCCACAATCATCCCTAGAGCAGATCTGTTAGACAAACATCCAACCTTGATATACAAATAGCCAGTGATGGGGACTCCACCACCACCATTGGTGAGTTGTTCCAAAGGTTAATTACTCTCACTGTTACAAACGTCGGCCTTAGTTCCGGTCCGAATTTGTCTAGCTTCAGTTTCCAGCCACTGGGCCGTGTTACACTTTCTCTGCTAGATCGAAGAGCCCATTATTAAATATTTGTTCCCCAGTTAGGTTCTTATTGACTGGTTAAGCTAAATAGATTGAGCTCCTTGAGTGTCGCTCTAAGGCAGGTTTTCCAATCCTCGTATCAATCTCATGGCTCTTCTCTGAACCCTCTCCAGTTTATCAACATCCCTCCTGAAAGGCTGTGTAGGGGGGTGTTGGGCAGATGCCATCTGTGTCATTACCAGCATTGGACAGCTGAGTAAAGGGCTGCTTCTGCCAGGCTCAGGGGTTTCTCTCCATGGCCCATCCCGAAGGAAGGGCAGACCATCTCCCTGGTCCTGTCCTCCTTTCTCACGTCTCTTTGGTGTTCCCAGGTCCTCTGCGATTTCCCTCACACCACTTGTGCTGTTCCGCTTGACTACCTGCTCGACCTCATCCCCCGGATCCAGCCCCGTGCCTTTTCCATCGCCTCCTCCATGCTGGTAAGGAGCTCCAGTATTCCTGTTCTCCCACGTAGTCGCTGGGCTAGGGCTGACGACTCACTGCCCTGAGAAGGCTCTTCGCTCGGGACCCCAACAGTGCCCAGAGAGGAAGGAGCTGTCTGCTCCTTTATCCTGCAGACTCCACAACTCTCACAGGCTCCACCCCTTGCTGTGGAGACTGTTGAATGGCCAGTTCCGTATAGACACCAACCTCCAGCTCTGGCCATTCACGTTTCCTCACTCCTGCGCCCCTGGGAGTCACGGGAGCTTTGGCGCTGAATGTAGCCCAAGGGATCCCTGCTATTTCCCCGGCCCTATGGACCAAGGGCTGCGATGAGGTGAGGGGTGTCTGGCCTGGGCGTGCCGCAGGTGGGGACTGTTGGGCCACCCTGCACTCTGGGTATGGGTGTGACAGTGGTATTGTATCGCCAGCATGGGTCATGTAAGGCAGCGGGTGTAGTCGTTGCCTGTCCCCACCAGTAGATGGCACTCAGACGCCTGTCCCGTGGGGAGTGAGGGCGTGAACGGGAGTTGCCCAGTAGCTAGTAGGATTTTCCCTTCCGTCCTGGGGTTCTTCAGCCTTTGGGGCTGGCCCGTCCCCTCGGTCTGGCGGTGTCGAGAGGGCTTCTGCCGGGACTGTCTCCTGCATGCGAGGCGCTCCGTGCCTGCAGGGGCTGGCCAGTCAGGGGTGAGCTTTGAAAGGAGGGATTCCGTGATCTGCTGCCAAAATGGCAGCCTCAGGCTAGGAAGTACCTCCCGGGTGGGGAGAGCATCGGGCCCAGGAACTGCCCCAGTCAGACCACAGGCCCCCTCCTGCAAACCAGTGCTCCAGCCACTCCCCTGTCCCATCTCCTGCCGCATCAGCTGAGCCCGTCTGTCCCTCTGGTTCTGCACCACCCCCACTGCGCTCATCTCTGGCTGGGCCAGGTGCCCTTTGCGGGGCTACACGGGGCTTTGCCCTGGTCTCCCGTGGTGTTAGTCGGGAGGGCCTGGCTGGCTCGGTGGGCCTGTTGTGTCCAGGCTGTTTGACAGCACACCTCTCTGCACCCAGGCTCTCCCCAACAGACTCCAGATCCTCCTGGCTGTGGTGCAGTACAAGACACGCCTCAGCAAACCCCGACGTGGCCTCTGCTCAACCTGGCTGGCATCCCTCCGCCCGCAGCAAGGTAACTGGTCACTCGGGATCACAGGCAGAGCTCTGGGTGCCCCACTGCCCCTAGGCCACGGGCATGTCCCCCTCTGTGCCAGAGAGCCTGCACGGAGTTGGGCACGGGTTAGCTTGGCGAGAGGCCGAAGGCCCTGCCTCCCTCCTCTTCATGGTACTCTGTGAACAGTGACCCAGCGCTGACTGCCCTGCTTTCCCCTTGGCACGCAGCCCCTCTCTGACTGCCTGATCCATCCAGCCCCCACCCTAAGGACCCGAGCTCCTCTCCCTCTTCCAAACCCTGCTGCAGAACAAGTGCTGAGTCCAGCCTCCAGGGTCCTGCACTGACCCTGGGCAGGCGAGTGTTTCTGTTAAATGCATCATCCTTGTCCGTCTCAAGGGAGCCCTCTCCCTCCCTGGGGCGTGGCCCTCTGCTCCGTCACAGGGATCCCCGGGGAGGAGACGGGGGGCAGGAAGCCATCCCTTTGTCAGGGTAGCTGGACCTTCCCAACTGCTCTCACCGTGGTCAGTCCTGCCGCTCCGAACGCCGCCATCGGGGTGACCGATTCTCCTCCACCACTGCCCCTCCCGCCCACCAGGGCTAGGTTTATGCGAGGAGCTGGCCCTGCGGCTGCTCCCTGCTGTGCCGCTGCCATGGTCTCTGGGGTTCATGCCGGCGCCTGGTAGAACAATGACGATTTGGCTCCATGGATGGAAGAACGATGGGGTCGTATTTAGTCCATCTCCCCAAATGCCCTGAGCATGTCCACAGGGCTGCAGCACTTAGCGGCTTCCTCGGGCCCATGACATGCAGGCTGCCACTTCCCTCTCTGCTCTGTCTGTATTTCTCCCTATAGCACCTGATGATGGCTGGCTGGCACAAGGCCAAGCTTCCCCCGGGGCAGTGCTCTGCCAGGCCGATGCCTGCTGCTTACATTGCAGTTGCAGTTCTAGGGCCTGACTGTACCTGGCCTGGTCCTTTTGCAGGGGCTGTCCGGGTGCCTCTGTGGGTGAAGAGGGGGGGGATGAAGTTCCCTGTGGAGCCAGACACCCCCATCATCATGATTGGCCCTGGCACGGGAGTGGCACCCTTCCGAGCAGCCATACAAGAGCGCGTTGCACACGGCAGGAAAGGTGAGGAGCTCGCCTGGGAATGATTCCTGCAGGCCCCCTCCTTGCCACCGAAGGGTGCGCCCCGGGACGGGGGGAGGGGTGTGCCCCGGGATGGGGGGAGGGGTGCGCCCCGGGACGGGGGGAGGGGTGCGCCCCAGGACAGGGGGAGGGGTGCGCCCCGGGATGGGGGGAGGGGTGCGCCCCGGGACGGGGGGAGGGTGCGCCCCGGGACGGGGGGAGGCTGGCTGTGTCTCCGCTCAGAGTCGAGTCCTCGAGGAGCTCTGCTCACTCCAACGTGCCCCTTCGGTTTCTCTGCAGGGAACTATTTATTTTTTGGCTGCCGACAGAAATCCAAGGACTTTTACTGCGGGGCTGAGTGGCAGGAGCTGGTGAAGAGCGGGCACCTGACTCTCTTTACAGCCTTCTCCAGGGACCAGGTTAGTAACTGTGCAGGGGCCAGTGCCCTGTGACGGGCTTTCAATGTGGGATGGCTTTGCTGAACCCTGTTGCTGAGTGACAGGCAGAGCACACCCCTGCCTGCTGCAGACTGGCAGGGGCTCTTTGCTAAATGGCAGACGCCTTGGAGCAGGACACGGGGTGGGGAGGCCTTGCATCCAAACTAGAACTGCAGCCTGATGTGTCCCGGACCTCGACCAGCACCGTGGCCCCCCTCCCTGTGCCCTTCGCTTTTCTTTTCTTTACAAAGAGAGCCCCTTGCATCGGGTCACATCGCCTCCCCCATACCAAAGCAAGCTCTCTCTGCTGCAGGCTGGGAAGGCAGAGAGCGGGAGAGAGGGGGTGTCATGTTATTTCTGTTGTTAAACCCGCAGTGTGGGAAGGGGAGGAGGTGAGTCCTGAGAGAGACGGGGTTGGGGATCAGCCTGGACGCTCAGTGGAAATACGTCAGTGCACAACCTCCATTTCCAAAGCCCCCGTCCCGGGCCAAGGCAGAAAGGAGCGTGGTGACGCATTCCCAGCCAGTGCATGTCCTCGCTGGGGAGCTGTGCTCCACTTTGTGTGCCCTGGACGGGTAGAGTGGAAGGTGCAGCAAGAGGATGGCACGCTGGGGGGACCTGCAGCCTCAGAGAAGGAGCCCTCCCTGGGCAGGAGAAGGCTGGGAGGGGCCTGCCTGGGGCACTGGGGACCCCTTCTAGCCAGAGGCTGTTTGAAAGGTGGGCACTGGGGCTGGCCTGGGAGAGGCCCCTGTGCAGGATTCCTGCAGCTAGGTAATGGCACCGTGCTTCTCCCCAGGGCACTGCCCCTGCACCTTGCTGCTGCCTGCTCACCTGTGGCTTCTGCCCCTGGCTAGCGGGTGTCTGAGACCCTGCCGGACCTTTTCTTTCTCTGTCGGGCCATCTGAGAGACAGGCCCAGCACTCAGGGAGGGCGTTCCCGCTGCTTGTGAGGGGCTGGCGCTGTCAGCTGCAGGTCCCCGCCGTCCTGCTGCCCCTAGCACAAGCTACACCCCACTCAGGCCATGCGACAGCCTTTGCAGAGTTCGCGTGGCCTGCAGGGGCCTCTGCTTCCCGCACACCCTGGACACCTCCCCTTCCCAGTCATTCGAGGGCAGGTCTACACTACGGGCTGAGAGCGGTATGACTGTGTCGCTCAGAGGTGTGAAACCCCCCCCCCCCCCCCCCGAGCGACGTGGTTATATCGAGGTATCCCCCGGTGCAGACAGCGCTGTGTCGGCCTAGCTCCCGCCTCTCGGGGAGGCGAGTACTGAACCTACGACAGGAGACGCTCTCCTGTCGGCTAGGAGCGTCCCCACTGAAGTGCTACAGTGGTGCAGCCGCATCAGGGCAGCGTTTTAAGTGTGACCTGCCTCCAGCTGAAGGGGGGGCCGGATTCCAGAGACGCGCGTTGCTGGTGACGCACTTCAGCCCTGAGAGGTGCTGGCAGTGAGTGGGGGGATGCTGAGCAAGAGCCCAAAGACTGTGCCAGTGTCACCAGGCCGGGGGAGGGGAG